TTTCCTTTTTGGCATCAAATTCAAATTCACAATCCCACCAAAACCTGCCCAACCAACCTATCTAGTGAGATAGCTGTAGATATCCATGCCCTCCTCACACCTGAGGGGCTAAGACAGACACCTATCCTCCAGCTGGAATTTACTAGAGCCCCTGGGGTAGGTCTCACAAAGCCTTCTCTGCCTAAGGTTTTTTAGGGTATTTTTATTGTGTGCAGGGGGAGGGGCTTGGGGGGTTCTGTGTTACTAAGAGGCAGGAACAAACTTTGTTGTTGTTTTTAGTTTTTATTATTTCTTTTTTCTTTTCTTTTTTTTTTTTTTTTGGTTTTTCGAGACAGGGTTTCTCTGTGTAGCTTTGTGCCTTTCCTGGATCTCGCTCTGTAGACCAGGCTGGCCTCGAACTCACAGAGATCCGCCTGGCTCTGCCTCCCGAGTGCTGGGATTAAAGGCGTGCGCCACCACCGCCCGGCTATTATTATTTCTTGAAGACAGGGTCTCATCTATCTCAGGCTGGCCCCAAACTCAGGATGTAGCTGCAGATGTCCTGAAGTCCTGATCCTCCTGCCTCTACCTCCCCAGCGCTGCACACAGTGAGCACCACCACACTGACTTTTATGCAGTTAGGGATGGAACCCAGGGCCTGGTGCATGCTAGGTAAGCGGTCTACCAACCACGCTAGAACTCCAGCTTCAGGAGCAATATAAGATCCTCGAGGGTAACTGTCCTTCCTCTTAGGTATCTAAAATACCATGTATGGGTCTGGCTACAGCTTGGTGCAGAGCATTTCTTAACACCCATGAGGTTCTGGGCTTAGTTCCCAGCACTGCAAAAAAACAAAAACCAAACAAACAAAAAACCAAACTGGACTGGTGAGCGGGTTCAGAGGGCAAACGTGCTTGCTGTCAAACAGGAGTCCAATCCATCCCACAAGATGGAAGGGGAGAATGGACTTCTGTAAACTGTCCTCTGACCTCCACCGTCCCCACACACAAATAAATGCGTAACAAAAAATTTTAAAAATAAAAATACTGACTCACTTGAAGTTACAAGTTAGAATTTGTTTAAGAGTGACCCCAATACTCCCTCTATTTTCCAAGCAAAGAAAAAGAAACACCTAGAAATTACATTGGAGACAAACTCAAGCCACACCCCTTTTTGCACGTTTGGTCTGTGTGGGGGCAAAAAAAAAAAAAAATCATTTCTATTTCCAACCCAGACCAGACCAATGGAGGAGCTCCCTAAAAACAGAGCGCGGAGAAATCACAAGCAGTCTCACTTAAGGGCTGCAGGAAGGAAAACAGTTCAACTGAAAACTGGTAACTGAGGACTTCAAAACAACCCAGCCGGAAATGCTGCATGACTGTCTGTCAGAGTCCCTGGGCTGCTGGGTCCCTCACCACACTGTTCACACCTGCGTTTTACTCAAAAGCAGCAGCCCCAGGGCTTTCTAAGGCCGGGGGTGAGAAGCTGAACACAGGCCCATGGAGGTGGCGGGGAGAATCCCAGTCACCCACGCAGCAGGCAGCAGCGTGGTTCAGGGAACAGTGTCTCGTGGCTACTCAGCAGACACGGGGAAGATGTGTCCCTAGCTTCTCCTAATTGCCCCTTTTAACTCCTAAAAGTTCCTGGATGAGTCCCCACTCAGAACAACTGCCCATTCTATCCAGGACAACCTCAAGACCCACACTTTTATTTCTTGCTTATGTTTTTATTTATTTTATTACATTTGTGTGTGTGTGTTGTTTTCTGTTTTTGTTTTTAAAAAAAAAATGAGGAGAAAAAAAGCATTCCCCAAATCATGAGCTCATGGTTGAGATGTCTATTTTCCCTGTCTCCCAGCATGAAATGCCCACAGCATGTCCCGGAGGCCACTGGTTCAGAGCAGTTAGCTGGGTTATGTTTGGGAAGACTTGTATGAGACGCTTAGCTTTCAATGACTGGAGCATAATCAACCTAACTGACACCCATTCACATATCCACAAGCCCTTCAAAGATGAACGACTGCTCCTGAAGTCACTGACAGGGATCACAGCGGATTCGAGGCAAGAGATTGGTTCTCCTCTGCCTCAGTTTCTAGAATGAAGCTGTGACAGTCATGCCCCGGAAGTTCAGTGCTCATTGGTGTGTGTCCCTCAAATGTGTGGCTAACCTGGGTACAGAGGAGGGCTTTTCAGGGTTTAAAAAACTTTTCCAGTTTGTGGGATTGTAAGTCCTTCAAATGAGTTACAGTTAAACAACAATGCATAAACCAGTTAAAGAGAGTTCTGTTGGTGTGTGTGTGTGTGTGTGTGTGTGTGTGTGTGTGTGTGTGTGTGTAACTCAGGCTCTTAAACAGACACAGTTTACCACCTAGCTACACCATCTGCCCTTCAACTGTAATGTATTTATCTGTGTGTTTCCTTTGTGGTGCTGGGGATGGAACATGGGGATTTGAACATCCCAGGCAAGCATACTGCCATTTGTACCACAACTCCAGGCCTTGACCAGCAAAGTCTGAATCATGCTTGTCAGGCAAATTTGGCCAATGTTTTCCAATAATTTGGGTTAGAACAACTAGGACAGAGAATTGTATAAATGGATAGGAAGTTTAGAACTAGGTATTGTTTGAAAATTACAATTTTTTAAATTAAATTTATTTTTATTTTTATATGCATTGGCATTTGACCTGCATGTCTGTGTGAGGGAGTCAGATCCACTGGAGTTACAGACAGTTATGAGCTGCCATGTGGGTACTGGGAATTGAACCCAGGTCCTCTGGAAGTGAAGCCAGTGCTCTTAACCGCTGAGACATCTCTCCAGCCCCTGAAGATTATACTTTTGTTTTTCTGTTTTTCTTTTCTTTTCCTTTTGTTTTTGTTTTTGTTTTGAGACAGTGTTTCTCTACCACCCTATATGATTATAATTTTTTTTTCTCACTGATTTCATTTTGTTTTTCAGGTCAACATAAGGACAAATGTGGTTCATCTTCCACCACTGAAGGCCAAGCTCAGCTTCTGACAACAGGCAAGAAGACCAGGGCCTTCCTAGGGCACCCTGCCTTGCTTTGTAAGTCACAGTTCTCTGGGTTTTGTATTTGTAGTTATTGTTTTCTTTTTCTTTTGAGGTGCTAGAGATGGAACCCAGGCATGGAGGATAAGTGCTCTCTACCCCTGAGCAACACCCCTAGGCCTGGCTTCTGTATTTCTAACTAAAGAATGGCATCACCTATTTCTCCAGAGGTGCCAATGAGATGTCAGCTCTGTAGCCTTTCAAGAGCTTGAGGTGGAGCAGACACTCAATATTATCATTATTAATCAATCATTTTTGTGGTGCTGGGGATGAGACCCAGGGCCTTGCACATGACAGGCAAATGCTCCACCCCGAGCCGCATCTCCAGCCCTAATATAAGCTCTTTAAAAACATATTTTAAGTTCTATTTGATTTTGCGTACCCGTCTGTGTGTACTTGCAAGCACTATGATGCATAAAGGAAGTCAGAGGACAACTTACGAGAATTGGTTCTCTCTTTCTGCCATGTGGGTTCTGGGGAATTGAACTCAGGTCCTCAGGCTTGGCGGCAAGCACCTTTACCTGCTGAGCCATCTCCCTATCCATCGCCTTCACAGTACTGCTCTTTCACCAGGTTTTTGACGGTACTCGAATAAACCCATTGCCACAAGGATAAACAAAATAAAACACCAAACAAACAAACGAAAACCATTTGAGAGAGATGAGAGAAAGGAACCAAGGGTGCTGGTGCACACCCTTAACCCCAGCACTGGGGAGGCAGAGGCAGGCGGATCTAGATTATTAAACAAAATACATCAATTAAAACATTGTTTTGGAGACAGTCTCCTCAAACTCACGGAGATCGGTCTGTGCTGAAACTACAGATGTGAGCTAGTATGCCCAGGCTCAAATTCAAACATTTTAAAAACTAGTAATTTTAGGCAAAAACAAAGGCAAACTTGATTTTCAAAATACCTCCTTCTTCCAGCCATAAGAAACTCTCACTCAAGCATGGTGTTTGGTAAAATTAGGATCTGTCCTTCCAGCTGAGGGTCTGAAATTGCACACAATAAACCCCAAAGACAGCGTGGAGCAGAGCCGACACACGGTGGGGGGGGGGGGGGGGGGGGGAGGACAAGGACCATCGAGGTTCCTGTAGATGTCACAGGATTTTCTCAGGTGGGGACCTACAGGGGCTGCAGCTGAGGGGCCGGTGAAATTCAGGGAGGGCCCCAGTGGGAGGAAGGGGTGGGGTGGTAAGAGGCAGAAGGCGTTCTTAACACCAATACAAGATTTAGAATTTTTCTCCAATAGAAATACTAACAAAACGGGATCAAGACCAGACCACAAACCACCCCCACTCAACGCCTCTAATTTTTCTTTAATGATTCACGTGCGTGTGCACATATCTGTGTGTGGGTGCCGGGAGAGGACAGAGACTCACATCGGAGTCTCTGGAGCTGGAGTTACAGGTATGGGTTGTGAGTCAGGGGCGCTGGGAAGAGCATTCCTCTAAAACAAGAGGAAGTGCTCTCAACCCCTGAGCCATCTCTCCAGCCCCTCAAAAGACTGCAGCGCAAATAAGGTCTTGGCATGAGTAAGGCAGAGCTATTAAGCTAATAGGTGGTGGATGGGGTGATCAGAGGGAGAAGTCTGGCCCGGGGGCTGACAGAGCTTGGAATCTGATGGGCCAGGATAGGTGCCCAGTGGACCTGGAACCACTGCAGAACAGGAGCAAGGACTAAAAAGCCCTGCACCTAACACTCACAACATAACACACACTTGCCGAGCTACTGGGGTACACTTCCCTTTCCTGCTGGCAAAGGTGCTGAGGACACCCCTTGGCCCCTCATGCCCTCTGCAACATTGTAAGGACAGCTGGTTTCACAGTTAGGGTTTATTTTTTTCTTTTGTAAACAAAGTGTAAATATCACCCAGCAACCTCGACACTGAACACATGTGGTTCGCATCAATGCCTAAATTCTAATACAAGAGCCTGCTCAAGCTCACACTCACTCATGGCAAGTCTCCGGGAGGAGGGAGGCCATTTTCTTCTTTCTTAGCTGTCCAGTCTCCCGACATCACCAGGAGGCCCAGGGTATGCTGCCACCTGCGGGCCAGACAGAAAAACACCTCAGTGAGGACCCAGAGGACCCAGAGCACCCAGCTGAAGCCACCCACTCCCAATGCAAGTCCTTTCCCTCCCCCCCCTCTCTGCCCTTTTTATTTTATATTCATTCATTCGTTTGTTTGTTTGGAGACAGAGGTGTATAGCCCTGGTTGGCCTGCAATTGGCTTTGTAGACCAGGTTGGACTCTACTTCCTGCCTCTGCCTCCTGGGATTAAAGGCATGGGCCGCTGCACCCCATGGCTGTTTAAACTTTATTTTTGAGACCTTGATATGAAGTCAAAGCTGGCCTGGAACCTGTGATCTGCCTGCCTCCGCCTAAGTGCTGGGACTGGAGGCATGTCCCACCACACCTGGCAGATGTATACATTAAAAAAAAGATTACATTTCTTTATTCATTGATTTATTTGAGAGAGAGAGCGAGAGAGCGCGAGCGCATGCATGTACCATGGCATGTGTGTGGAGGTCAGAGGACAACTGTCAGGAATCTGTCCTTTTCTTCTACTGTGAGGGTCTTGGAGCTGGAGGACAAGTGCTAGTCTCATCCAAATATTTTTTTCCTTCTCTTTTTTTCTTTTTGAGACAGCGTCTCTCTACATAGCTCTGGCTATCCACAGAACTCACTGTGGAGACCAAACCGGCCTCCGACTCACAAAGATCCACCTGCCTCTGCCTCCCAAGAGCTGGGATCAACACATGAGCCACTATGCCCAGCTCCCCCCTCCCCAAACATTTCTTAACAACAGCAGCTAACTCTCACACAGGGCTCCAGTCTATATACTTGGCTTTTATTCATTTCTCGAACCCACATAGCAACTGGTGAATGTTTTTTAAAAGGTCCTTGCCAATCAGCCTGATGGCAGAATTAGGCTGGGTGATTAAGGTGAATTAGTGGGCATCATCTGATTTCAAAGAGATGGGTGAAAAATGAAAACCTGAGGATGCTGAGCATCCTGGAGGTCATTCCCAAACCTTCATGGATACAGCACTATACAGCACTGCCCTGGTGTTTGGGGGAGGGAGCTGCAGACAGACAAATTCCTCCTCTCAGGGCTACCACTGCTGGAGGTGACCTGGGAAAGATGATAAATGCTGAGCTGGAGCTGCAGAATGCTCGCACATGAGCAGGTGTCAAGACCTGAGCTGGAGTCCTAGAACTCACGTAAAGCCAGGTGCAGTAGTGCACGCACCTATCATCCAATCACTCCTATGGGGAAGTGGGAGGTGGAGACGGGGGACTCCCAGGAGCTCACAGGCCACCCAGCTGGGAGTTCACAGCCCAGAGGCAAACAATACAGACCCTGCCTCCAGCAAGGTGGAAGGTGAGGACCAACAACCGAGCTTGTCCTCTGACCTTCACACATTCACCATGCCACGTGTATGCATGTGCTCGTGGGCATGCGCACATGCTCAAGTACACACACACACACACACACACACACACACACACACACACACACACACACACCACCCCCAAAATCAAACATGGCTGGGCAGAAGCAAAGTACAGGAGATAGAAAATGAGGACAACAAACGAATATTTACTCTGGTACTCCTCTGTCTCCAAGAGCTCACTGACCATGCCATTTCTTGCTCACAACCTCATTCCAGGCACCCTTGCTAGGGATACAACCGTGGGCAAGAATTAGACACGGTCCTAGCTGCTATGGAAAGTTTGGTTACATAAGAAACATTTAATTGATCAAGTAATTGTGCTCCCTGCCTCATGGAATATTAACACGGGAATATTTGCTATTAACCCAATTATCATCTCAACAAATGCAAAGCTGTGGAGTGAGAGCATCTGGGGTGGACAGGGGTGGCGTGTGTGTGTGTGTGTGTGTGTGTGTGTGTGTGTGTGTGTGTGTGATGACCCCTGCAGTACAAAGCAGCAGCCCTTAGGAAACATGCTATGTGTACAGGCTGGGTCACAGACAGGAAGCAGTGGGGTGGCAGGGTGAGGCTAAGAAGAGGTGTGGCCAGGCTTTCAGGGCACTTGCTGCCACGGGAGCCATGGCAGTCTTAGGCTCTGTGAACCACAGTACCTCTCAGGGTCCTGGGCAGAGGAGTAACGTACGCGGATGCGTGTCTTCACAAGATTATGCTAGGGGGTGAGCTGAAAGGCAGCCCCTTCAAAGACGTGATGTCTGACCGACCCCCTGAGCTGTGCACATGTTCCCTCCCACGGGCAAGGGGTAGTGCAGATGTGACTAAGTGGGGGTCTTGAGATGGAGTGCATCCAGGTGAGTATAAATAACCACAGTTCCTCTCCAGAGCTTCCTGAAGGAATGTGGTACTGCCAAACCCTCCATTTCACTACTTCCGGAACCATTAACAAATAAAAGTATGTCTTGTCTTGTTTTAAGCCACTGAGTTGTGTAAATCTTTGGTGTGTGTGTGTGTATGCACGCATGCACTCACGAGCGCATGTATGTGCATGTGCACACGAACAGAGGACAGAGGACAACTTGGAGGCGTTTCTCTCTACTATGTGGGACCTACACTCAGGTCCTTGGATGATTAGGATATTAGGAGCTGTGTCATAGAGCAGTCTCAGCATCTATGAAAAGCCAGATCTAGGACCCTAAGCAGATGAGAAGATGGGAAGACTGCTTCCTTTCGGTGCCATCGTCGCCCTCCCCCACCCCACCCCCAGCCCTCTTGCCGCACACAGGTCACAGGAGCTTAACTGGATTCTAAAAGCATAAAAAGACGTAGACGCCTGCAGATGACAAAATATCTGGCAGACTGTCAGGGCAGGAGAAAGTTAACTTTGCAGTGTGTGCGTTAACGTATGTGTTTTGTTCACATGTATGTGTGTGACTGATGCAGGTGCAGGCCAGAAAAGAAACCTCTGGAACCCCTGGAACTGGAGTTACAGAGAGTTGTGAGCCGCCCTGTGGGTGTTGGGAATTGAACCTGTGTCCTCTGAAGAGTAGCCAGGGCTCTTAACCACTGAGTCATCCCTCAAGCCCCAGGTTTGTCTTGTTTTGTTTTTAATTCTATGGGTATGGGTGTTTCGCCTACATGTATGTCTGTATACCACACATACACAGTGTCCATAGAGGCCACAAGAGGCCATTGATCCCTGGAACTAGGGGTACAGACAGCTCTCAGCCACCATGTGGGTGCTTGGAATTGAAGAGCAGCCAGGACTCTTAACTACTGAGCCAGCTCTCCAGCCCTTTTGTTTTTGAAAAAAGGCTGGCCTCATACCACACCTTTTTTTTTTTTTTTTAATTAAGATTTGTCCATCTCTCTGTGTGTATGCACACATACTTGGGTGCATACAGAGGCCAGAAAAGGTTATCAAGGGTCTCCCTTTATCACTTTCTGTCTATTCCTTTGAGGCAGGGTCTCTGTCTGAACCTGGGGCTGGCATTTTTTTCTCAGTTAGGCTAGAAGGCAGCAAAGCCCCAGTGATCCTTCTGTCTCCACTCCCCTCAAAGCTAAGTTTACATGCAAGAAGGCATGGGGCACCTGGCTTGTGTGGGTGCTGGGATCTAAGCTCCATCCCCATAATTGCACAGCAGGTGCCTTAATGGCTGAGCCATCTCTCCAGCACCCCTCCAATAACCCCTGGGTTTTGTACAGTGTTGGGGATGAACACCAGGGCCGTGTGCATGCTGGGTAAGCACTCTACCAACTGAACTACATCACTAGTCCTCAGCAGCTCAAATTTCAAATTTCATGTTCCTCTAGCCAGTCTCTTCTAGGGCAGATTATTTTAGAGGAACCTTCAGTTACTAGGAAGTTTACATAAACCAACAAAGCATTTGGTTTAACTGAGCTAAAGTAAACTCTGCAAAACATGAGGAAGTGACTTCAGCATTTGCAAATATTCCAGAACGTCTTTGTGCCAGGAAAGGTCAGCTGAGGATCAGAATAGCAGGGATTCCAGAGTATACTTTGGAGAAATGTGAGCCTCTGGGAAGCATTACTCTGCAGATAGATACACTTCACCATGCGTTTTCAGAGAGCCAAGGGAAACTCTTAAAGAGACATGTTTGAACCTTTCCATTACACTTTAGTCCACAATTGCATGAATAAGGTATAGATGAGTGCAATGGTTAAGATCTCTAAAGTAGAAAAAAATAACTGTGGATTTTGAAGCAAAGCAAGAAGAATTTTAAAAACATAGGAAACTTCCAGATGATTCTTCTGCGCAGACAGTGTCTGTAGGAATGCTGGGGCAAGTTGGGAAAAAAAAATAGTAAAAGCATGTTCAGAAGGTATCAGGGAGCCCTCACTACAACTAGTTGGGTGAAAGCACCTGCCACCCAGCCTGATGACTTGATTTCAATTCCTGGGACCCACGTGGTAGAAGGAGAGAAACCGGCTTTCACATGTTATCCTCTGATCTCCACATACATGTACACATACACACTTCTACACAAATAAACAAATGTAATAAAAATTAAAAACATGTTAAAAGGTTTCATGTTTAAGAAGAAGTAATAGATTTGTTTTAATTTTTGCCATTTATAGGAAACTATGTTTAAGACTGAATGACAGGGACTGGAGAGATGACTCAATGGTTAAGAGTTCTCCTGTCCTTGCAGAAGACTTGGGTTTGAGTCCCAGCACCCCCCTGGCAGCTCACAATCACCTATAACTCCAGTTCTAGGGGATCTGATGCCCTCCTCTGGCCTCCACATGCTGCCTGCATACATGTAGTGTCCATACACTCAGGCATACACACATACCCATTAAAAATGAAATAAGTATATATAATGTAAAGAACTGAATGATGGCCCTTGTAAAGCTAGGAACTTCCCAATCTCTATTCGAAAGGAGGCGGGAAAGCCAGGCATGGTGGTACTTGCCCGTAGCCCCAGCTCCTGGAGCCTACAGGCTAAGGCAGAAGGGTTGATAGGACAGCCTGAAGAAGGCCCCATTTCATTAAAGAAAAACAAAAGCATTCGGCACTGGAGGGAAGGCTCAGTGCGAAGAGCCCTTGCCGCTCTGGCAGAACACAGAGTTCTGATGCCAGCACCTACAGCAGCTGGTTCACAACCACCTGCAGCTCCAGCTCTGGGGACCCAACAATCTCTGCAGCCTCCAAAGGCACTCATGGCTGCGTAAGCATACACAGACATACAAATACACAAATAAGTAAAAGTAAATCCTTTTTAAAAAGAAAAAGAATGAAGACAGGTCCTAGCTCTGAAGAGGTAGAGGTAGAGCATCAGGAATTAAAGGTCATCCTTGGCTACATAGAGTTCGAGGTCAGCCTGGACTACGTGAGACCTTGCCTCAAAAACAAAACGGGGGGGGGGGGGCGAGAGGGGGCTAACCCACAATGAATGCATGGCAGACAAAATGACAGAACGGAGACTACATCTACACTGAACAAAATAAATACAGATGAATTAAATCCCACTACTCAGAGACCAAGGCTTCCAACATGGTTAGAAAACTGGAGAAATCAGGGGAGTCCATTTAAATAGAGACGTGTGTATGTGTATGCAATACACAGAGGCCCATACCTTACATCATTCGGAAAGTTGTAGAAATATGTTTGTAAGAGACAGGAAAGGGTCCCCAAAAAAGTGCCAACATCATCACCTTGTTTGCCAACAGAGAATGTCTCACAGGAGGCAGGAGTGGACTTTCCTGTCTCACAGACATGTGCACTGTTTGAATCTATTACAGAATGCATATAACCAACAAAATAGATGAATATTAAGTATAAAAGCTGAATCAGTATGATAGAAGCTACAGAGGACAAAGCGTCAGGAAGACTGAAACCAACAGGAGATTTTTTTTTTTTTCAGAGAGACTTAGAGGCCAGGTATGGTGATGCACATCTTTAATCCCAGCACTTGGGAGGTACAGACAGGCAGATTTCTGTGAGTTTGAGGCCAGCTTGATCTACATAGTGAGTTCTAGAACAGCCAGAGCTACATAGTAAGATCCTGTTTCAGAAAACCAAAACAGGGCCTGGGGAAATGGCTCAGCAGTTAAGAGCACCGGCTGTTCTTCCAGAGGTCCTGAGTTCAATTCCCAGTAACCATAGGTGGCTTCTACAGTGGGATCTGATGCCCTCTTCTGGCAAAAACCTGCCCATGCAGATAGAGCACTCATACACATTAAAAAAAGTGAAAGAGACAAACAACCAAACCAACCAAACACACTAAAACCAAACACTACCCCAAAACAAAACAAAACAAACAAACAATAAAAGAGGCTTCGCAGGGCAGAGAGAAGGGCACTACGCCAACCGCATGAGTTCAGTTCCAGGGACCCACAGGCTAGGAGCAGAGAGTCAGCTGTTAAACTGTTCTCTGATCTCCACGTGTGCCAAGACAGGTCCACGCACCCCATCCCACCCTCAATGCTCATAAAGAACTAATTTAAAAAATAGTCTATGCAGAAAAGGAGGACACGAAATATATAACTGACATTTTACAAGTTATAAAATTGTCACATAAGTGGGCTCATCAATGAAAAGCACATTGCTTGATGGCCAGTCTTGGTTGTCAACTTGACTCCCATCTGAAATCACCTGGGCATGCCACGCCTGTGAGGATTTTCTCGACTGTGTTAATTGAGGTGGAAAGACGCACCCTAACTCTGGGCCACACCTTCTTCTGGTGGAAACCCGTAGGAAAGGACACGGAAGAAGGAACCTTTGGCTTTTTTTCCTGTTTGCCCTGACTCTCCCGGTATAGTTCATCCGTTTTGGTCCTGAGGCACTGAACCTACTTCTTCAGGATTCCAACACAGACTGAGGACTGGCAGCCCTCTAGGAATCCTCTGGGATTTCAGTACCAGATTGGGACATTGGAGACTCCTGGACTGAGCGGCCACTGCACTCTTGGCTAGTCATTCACCACACAGCTAATGTTGACGAGCCAGACCACAGGCTGCAAGCCACTCCAATAAACTCCCTTGCACAAGTCATTGTGTGATTTTAAAATCTCTTTCTTGTATTTCTGGGCCCAGAAGGCTTTACAAGAGTATTCTACCAACTTTCAATAAGCAGATCTCTATCCTATACCAGCTGTGTCTTCATATAGAAAACAGGAAACACTGCCTGATTTAATGTTATTATAAACTGGCAGGGAGAGGTGATCACGTGATCACCTTGCCAAAGACAGAATAAGCATTTGATAACGTTCCACCCACAATCAAAAGCAAAACCAAAAGTGTTTACAGACAGCATTAGGACAAGCCTCTGTGCCCCTCCACCTCCCACCTTCTCAGCGGCCCAAGTCCAGATGGTGTAGCCAACGCGCTTGAAGCATTTTTTTTTTTTTTAGAAAACAGTAGTAGGGATTTTTATTTATTTTCCATGGTTGTTGCTTCAGTTCAGCTCAGAGGAAGAGAAAGGAGTCCTGGAGAGAAGGAATAGCTTGTGAAAGCAAGCCACAAAACAGGAGATGAAAACCTAATTTTTCTGACTTATGAAACAGAATGTGCTAAAAGCAATGCTCATTAGGATGACGCACAGGAGAGACCCATGTATTATAAAATTAGGACATCTGGTCACCTTTCTCAAATCCAGACCTCTTTCTTAAAGATCAGATCAAGTTTTTTTCCGGCCGTGGACCTTGGGTCAGACCTGAGACTGGCTGGAATGAACTTCTACCGAGACAAAATCTGGCTACAAGGGGCTTCTTGCGCCCACAGGCCAGACAGAAAGCTGCCACTCAAACGTAAGCAAGTGTCTGAAGACTGGTCCCTTTACTTTTAGCTCGTGCACCTATGCCATCTATTTCCTCTCTACCGTGAAACAGTCTCACTGTGTGGCCTTGGCTGAGACCTGGAACTTGCTGTGTAGACCAGGCTGGCCTGGAACTCATCGATCTCCTCTGCCTCTGCCTACAGAGTGCTGGGGTTGAAGGCGTTCTCCACCGAAGCACATCTGTACAACTTTTCTTGCCGGGGATAGTGGATGCCCTGAGGGCAGCGGCTGCCTCCAGAGCTTGCAGTCTACCTAAGTGTGTAGACCTCACCAAAAGCAAGACAAGGGAGCCCCATTTTTCATCCTTCTGCTGGGAAGCAGGAGATCGGTTTGTGGTCCGGGGAGGGTTCTCTACCTTCTCTAAGCGCACCCATCCCTGGCCATCTTTGCTGGCGTGGGCTTGTGGCCCCTTCAGAACAAACCTCAGACTTCACATAGGGAAGGACCCTGGAAGAAGCAGCCTTGGTTCTACCCTTGTCCTAAAGCCTATGATCAAGGAAGGTGAGCTGCCAGTTTTCTGGGTCTGGTAACACTCAGAAGGCAGGACAGGTGCACAAACCTTGGTAGCTAAGAAGTGGCTGAGGCTGACAGGTAAGGGTGGAGGGTAGGTTATGAGCTCCTGTGAGCTCAGGTTGGGCAGGGTACTGCATTCAGATGCATCCTCCTACATGGGATTTTATAGAAATGGGGGACGGGGAGGGAGGGAGAGCTCCTGTGAGCTCAGGTTGGGCAGGGTTCTGCATTCAGATGCATCCTCCCACATGGGATTTTATAGAAATGGGGGATGGGGAGGGAGGGAGAGAGAGAGAGAATGTGGGGGTGCTGCAAAAATGAAACGTGGGCTCAGGTGGTCAAAGCACCACCGAGGCCCCGGACTGCTATATCCCGGGCGGGCTGGTCCGAGACTTCTTGGATCCTCCAGCCTGACCTAGTGGTTCTGAGTCACTCGGACCCCAACCACGCTTAGGGCCCTCCTGGCTCCGGGCCAGGCGTCCCTGTGACCTGCGTGGACCCGGAGCTTGTCGCCTGCTCCGCAAGGAGGAGCCCGCGAGCGGCGGGGGCTGCGCTTACCTTGCTTGCGGGGGGCCGGGGTCCAGGCTCCGCTCCCCGCAATGCGGCCGCATCTCCAGTCGTCGCGGCCGCTTTGTTTCTCTGCAGAGGAGCTGCAAAGCGAAAGCGAAAACCAGGGGAGGCGGGAGCGCGCCCCGAGCGAACGCGGCCCACGGGCGGGCGCTGTGGGCTGGAGGGCAGTGCGCGCGCCAGAGTCCGCGTTCACAGCGCGCGCGCGCGGCCGGCGGTGCAGCGGCGACCTCTTAGGCGCGCTGCTGCCAAGTGCTGGGAACGCTTGCTCACGCGTGAGCCAGGGTCACGGCTCCTGGATGAGCGCCACTCAGTGCCTCTGCCCTGGACTGGACTTGACCACTGGTAGCGCTTTGGTCTGGCCTGGGGCAGCCAGTCCTGGCTCGGGTGACTGGAACTGCGTGAGCCTACTTTGCTGGGGGAGGTAGCAACTTAAACCTTTCTAATGCTGGGACCCTTTAATACAGTTTCTCATGTTGTGGGGGACCCCAACCACGAAATTATTTGCGTTGCTACTTCATAACTGTAATTCTGCTATTGTTATGAGTCAAAATGTAAATACTTTCGGAGATAGAGGTTTACCAAAGGGGTTGCAACCCACAGGTTGAGAACAGCTGTAAAGAGTTAACTGTGTAACAGTTCTATTTGATGTGTGTGTGTGTGTGTGTGTGTGGGGTGGAACTCACAGATATCCACCTGCCTCTGCCTCCTGAGTGCTGGGATTAAAGGTGTGTGCCACCACCTAGTTCTAAGCATTTTAAAGGAAGTTTCTTGTTGCCCTAGGTAATGACTAGTAATTAGAGTCTTCATACGCCACAAGAAGACATGGAGCAAATCAGTGAGGGGATGGGAAGATAATTTAGTCAGTGAAGTGTTTGCTCGCCCTGCAAACCTGAGAACCAGAACTCAGTCTCTCACACGCCGCAAAAAGCTGGACCAGCAATGTGCCTGTATTCCCAGCATCAGGGAAGCTGAGACAGGAGAATTACTGGGGTATGCTAGCCAGCCAAGTGACCAGGGTCTGTGGAGTCCCAGGTTCAGTGAGAGAACCTGTTTCTAGAAGATAGCTGGGCTGGCAAGATGATTCAGCAGGGCAGGGCCCTTGCCACCAAACCTTAGGATCTGAGTGTAATCCCCAGGCCCCATGTGGTGGAAGACAAGAACCAGCTGCCACAAGGTGACATCTGACCACATGTTCATGTGGTACAAGCTTGCTTGCCCCAACACACACACACACACACACACACACACACACACACACACACACACACACACACAAAGAAGGAAATGACCCTCAATTGGGACCTCTGGCCTACACTGTGTGTGTGTGTGTGTGTGTGTGTGTGTGTGTGCACATATACTCACACGTGCATAGCACAACCACACACATGTATATATCACACACGCACAAAAGGTGCTGAACCAAGTGAGGAAGATATTGACCTTGAGCATCAAGTTCCACATTTGCACACACATTCAAAAGCACTTGGGTGAAAAGGGAGATCCTTCATGTGATCAGAAAAACTGGCAAGGTTAAGGTTTGGACTCCTTGTTCTAAGTGATGCCCACCTCACTGCCTGGGGTTAGGTCCTAGCCTTATCAATCACAAGGGGCAAATGAGGCCCTTTCATGTGATCAAAAAACTGGAAACGAAGGCTTAAGGTTTAGACTCCTTGGTCCAATGCTGTCTATCAATACCTATTGACCAGGCCCTAATCTTGTCTCTAACTGACCATGATTTGGGGCACAGTATTTAACTAGCCTTAGAGTCTTCCCCTGGAGGATGAGGATAACAGCCACATCTCCTTCCAGGTTTTAGGCAGGAAATGCAACCACCACTGAAGAAAATACTTGACAGACTATTTTCCATGAGCCTCTAGGTGGGTGCCTTGAAAGCAATGGCTAAATCATTGTGGACAGACAAGGGTTGGTAAGATTGGGGGTGTCTCCATGATAACAGGATAGTTTTAAGTTTGGACTTTGTCATCTGCACACAGAACACTGAGGATGTACTGCAGTCTTTGGGCAAGACTTCCAACACCAAATCCCACAATTAGCTGCTGTAGTTAGCCTACTGGAATACATTTTTGCCAAGGCAGAACTGCCACAAAGTCTGCCCAAATGCTTTAAGCACTGTCCAGTACTGGCCCGGACACCGGACACCTGCAAGTGTTTCTAACACTTGCTATTGGGAAATGTTATGACAAATACGGTTAGTACTCTCTCTCTCTCTCTCTCTCTCTCTCTCTCTCTCTCTCTCTCTCTCTCTCTCTCTCTCTCTCTCTGTGTGTGTGTGTGTGTGTGTGTGTGTGTGTGTGTGTGTGAGAGAGAGAGAGAGAGAGAGAGAGAGAGAGAGAGAGAGAGCGAGCGCAAATATAAAACAATTTTTGTTACAGAGCCCAGAGAGAACAGTCCAAAAACTGGAGTGAAAACCCAAATGAACTATACAACCATGAATCACTTACTTTGTTTTTGTTTGTTTGTTTTTTGTTTTGGTTTCTTGAGACAGGGTTTCTCTGTGTAGCTTTGGAGCCTGTCCTGGAACTGACTCTGTAGCCCAGGCTGGCCTTGAACTCACTGAGATCCGCCTGCCTCTGCCTCCCACATGCTGGCATTAAAGGCATGTGCCACCACCAATGGCTTGGCTTGCTTTACACCTTGCACCTGCCCTGCAGAACGGAGGCCTTGGTCTATGCCCTATGCAAGAGATTTCAGTGTTTCCTGTAGGAGCAGGAGGGGAAGTGAGACTGCCCAGATGATGATGTTATGAAAGCAGAAGCTCACATCTCTCCTTCAGAAGTGTTTTTTTTTTTTTTCTGCAGCATGAAGAAAATGGAAAACATTAGAAATCCAAGGTAAGCCTTGCAGCAAGCCTCTTCCTCAATGTAGGGCAGTTTTGACTCATGGGAGCAGAGTGGAGCTCTGGCTGTGTTTTTGCATAAACAACGTCTTGGAAGGGTTAAGACAGGATGCTGCTTAGTTTTTCTTAACTAAAGAGAAACTAGAGTCATCTGGGAAGAGGAACCCTCAATTGAAGAATAGTATCCATCAAATTGGTATGTAGACATGTTTTGGAGGGGAGGGATTTTCTTGATTGACGACTGGTATGGGAGGGACCAGCTCACTGAGGGAGGTGACAGCCTTGGCCAAATGGTCCTGGGTTGTATAAAATAGCAAGCCAAGCAAGGCAATGGGTAGCAATCCAGTAAGCAGCATTCCTCTATGGTCTTTGAGTCGGTTCCTGACTCAGCAGGTTCCTGCCTTGAGTTCCTTACCACATCCCTCAGTGATGGACTGTAAGCTGTAAGAAGTAAACTCTTCCCTCCCCAGTTGACTTTGATGAGTGTTTTATTACAGCAACAGACACTGGACTAGAACAGCCATGAAGAGAGGAAGGAATTCCCAAAGGGAAAGCCAAATTCCGGTTTCATGTGCGTGTGTGCCTTTGAGTGTGGAGGCCTGAGGTCATCATCTGCGGTCTTCCTCAATCACTCTGGCCTTATTTTTTGAGACAGTGTCTCTCCATGAACCTGTAGCTTGTAGATGCAGCTAGGCTGGCTGGCCAGCAAGCCCCAGGGGTCCTCCTGTCTCTGCCTCCCCAGTGTTGGCTTTTACATGGGTACTGGGGATGGAAATCAGGCTCTCAAGCTTCTGTAGTAAGTACTTGCTGTCAGGGGCATCTCCCCAGGCCTCTGGGGGCTTTTTATAGCTAGCACACTTAACTAGTGTGCTAGGAAGCCAAGGCCCCTGGAATCTTAGTGATTTCTGTACGTCTATATTTGGGTCCCCTTGGGGGGACATGAAAGTTCACCTGATTTTCAGCATTCTAGCATTGATTAGTGCTGTTGTACAAAATGAGGATGCCCAGTTTAAATCTTTCATATACTTCATTCAATAAGTGGTAGGTAGGAGGCCATTGGGGTGGTTCAGCAGTTCAATCTCTGGGACCCATCCGTTGGAAGGAGAGGACAATATGACTCCCAAATGTCATCCTCTGACCTTCACATGTGTGCTTTAGTGTGCCTCTCAATAAATAAGTGTAATAATTAAAAACGAAAAAAACCAAACTCTAAACATTAGGTAGCAACCAGAGAAAATGCAGACATCCTGCCAGTGCTGGAGATTGAATAGCAAACAAAAATGAATGTGGTCTTTGCCTTCAGTACACATACTTTATCGAGGAAGTAAGAGCAATCAGTCAAACCTAGAATAACCATCCTAAACGTTGTTGTTCAAGGGCCAGGGAGATGCTCAGCAGGTAAGGGCCCTGCTGCCAAGCCTGTTGATGTGGGTTTGATTCCCCAGGACCCACATTATGGAAGAGGACACCTGTCTCCTGACTTGCACAGACAGGACCTGGCACATGTACACACACACATACACACATGGACACACAAAAAAATAAAAAGATCTAAATCCTACAGGAGCAAGTAGCAGGTGGAACTTGCCTCACCATCAATTCTGAATTCTCAGACTTCCTGTTAGTGTAGCCTGTGCCTCTGCCCTGCTGCCCGGGGGCGCTTCCTCCTTCCTCCTTCTGCTTCCCTACTTCCCACTACAGCAGACCTGCATCCAGACCTCAGTCTTTCCCAATTAGACTTCTTTGTGTTCCCCTTTACACTCCCTACTCTCTCCAGTAAACACCCCACACTTCATTCTATCTCCTTGCTGTGTGGGAGAACCCACACAGACACAATCACGGCCTGACAATGAGCTGGAGCCTTGGAAGAATTTTGGAGACCTTCAGTTCTGCACAATGTGAGTGACGATAGATGGGCAAAGAAAAAACCACCATGTCTCAACTTCCCTACTTTAATGGTGCTCTTGTGCTCAATACCAAGCTACCAGCCATGTCTTCCTTGTGGGGAACTAGTTTCATCTATAAAGCTTTGTTTTACGGATAACCCCCAACCCCAATCCTCTGAGTACAGTTCAGTGTTAGAGCTCTTTCCCTCTAGAGAAAAAATAAGCTCCCATCCCTTAAAGACAGCAAAAATAGGAGTAATTTGCACCTGAACCATGACGTGAGTGAATGACGTCACTCTTAAAGTGTTCCCTGGTAAAAGGTCTTGCCTTTGCTTCAGTCCCAAAGATGGGAATCATTGTCATTTGGAGTGAAAAGTACCTGCTCACAAAGGCATTCTCACCCCAAGTTCAGCCTCTCTGAGCAAGGTGCCCTTGGAGAGGCGCAGGGTGGCCCTGTCACTGAGTTCTGTC